TAAAATTTGTGGTTAAACTGTAAAACATGAATTCAATTTGTGCTTGACGACGACATTTAGGGAGCGACTGCCAATTTTATTTTTACTTTGTAAACATCAGCCAATATATTGATCTGTTTTTCTCCCTGATATCGGTTTTGGCTTCGGCCCCGGGCTCCGTTCTCTAAAGGATCTTTGCTCCTCTGCATTAACTGTGCTGACAGGACACTTCGACACACACGCACACACGCACACACACACACACACACACAGCAACACCCCCCCGACCCTATTGGTTGAATAAAGCCGGAGACGAGCGCACGTTCCTTTCACGTCACATCGCACATGAACTCAAGCTAGCTGGGTTTGTTCGGAGGTATCCATGCACGGGCAAGGCTAAGAAGTTACAACCCAGTTGACAAACACAGTGATCCCCTCTGGCCACGTCTGGTACTGCAATGCAATATCCGCTACTCAGTGACGTCCCGCTCCCTGGTGAGTAGAACACGAGTGCAGATATTTGAACGCGATGTTCAAGACCGGTCAGCGACGTTGGAAGCACTATTTAGTGTGCGACTAGTGTTAACAATAGGATGCTAGCTAGCTTCAGCGCACAAGCTCCCTCGGTCTCAACTAAGCTTACCTGCCGACACGTTCAGCACAACACACACACAACACACACGCCCACACACGCAACACATAAGCAGAATATAAAAGAAACTTCCAAACAGAGAATAAAACTTCCGCCCCCCGATCGAAAGAGAAAACAGAACCAGTCACGTACACACGGGGCAAATGGAAGACATGAACAACCCGGCAGCATCAAGCAGGAAGTGGCCGCTCTAATGACTCTCATTGGCTGTTACCATGTAACCAATCAGCAGCTTCAGCCCCTCGCGGACGCAGGTTACAGATAAGAAAATAAAATCCCATGAAAAGAAATAAAAAGAACACAATAAAAACTAGTTTAAAAAGGAGTAGACACACACTGTTGTTATAAGTATCTCTTCTATAGGTTTTTTTAATCTATGTTATTTTTAGATTCATTGCGAAATAAAGATAAATGTTATTTTTTTCTATAACTTCATCATTAACTTCATCAGCATCGACAACAAGACACGGTTTTCAGAATTATTACTGTGAGTTCCTTCCCCTCCTCCCCCCTTTGGTTTGAATCTCTTTTTCATCGCAGAACAACCCGATCATTTTGTTTTCAGCTGGAAGGGGGGATGTGAGGAGAAGGACGGGACGTGTGTGTGGTGCAAAAAGAGGAGGACAACTTCCTGTCGTCTTCTCCCTCCCTCCCTCCCTCCCTCCCTCCCTCCCTCTGTTCCTATTCTGCTCTTCTGGGGAATGATGGGAGACGTTTAGGGACAAATAAGAAAACCCATTTGTCTTGTTCCTGTGTTATTGTAATGCTTTGTCTTTCCCTTCCTTTCGCCATCACCCTCTTCTCTTTCTCACGCTCACTCACTCTCACTCTCTCTCGCTCTCTCTCGCTCTCTCTCTGTCTGTCTGTCTGTCTTCAGCAGGACACCTCCATCGTCTGGGAGGGGCTCGGCGGCATCTGGCCGCCCTGCGAGCCCTGCGACAGAGTGCGGGAGCGAGAGCGCGACCCGTCCATGGAGTAGGAGGAGGAGAGGGAGGTGGTGCGGGAGCGGGACAAGCGGGTCATGCAAGACGAAGCCACTGTGGAGAGAGAGAGAGCGAGAGAGAGAGAGAGAGAAATGAACGGTGAATTTAGACAAATAAAAGAATATAATAATTAACAACGGCTGAAGCACGAGGCTGATTTTATTCTTATAAATAAAACTGGGTGTAAATAAATGAAATTGATAAACTGGGTTTTTGAACAGAAGCTTTGTTTTGTCTCTTGTTTAGAACCGAAGCAGAACAGAAACAAAACGTTCTAACGTTGACATGAGCGTCTCACAGACGTGTTGTCTTTATGTTTGACCATCGACACTCAGGACAGAAGACGAGCATGAAGTCACATTTAAGAAAAAACTGTATTGTGTAATATTTTTATAAAACCCGATAAAAAGAAACAACTTTACTGTAACATTTATATAAATATATAAAGATATAAATATAATATTGAACTTACTGTAGCCCATGCCCTGGATGAAGTACTTGAACGCCTCAGTCAGTTTTGCCGGCTGCAACACAAGAGACAGTGTTTCACATTCTCTCAGTACAACACTACAGGTAACAGAGCGATCTGGCGACCCCATGTGGCGAATGAAAGGACTTCCTGCTAAATCAAATACAGTAAATAGGACTGATATTAAAATGAAGAAATGTTTTTTTAACATTTGAAAATATCTTCTCTTCTAAAACACCATGCTGTCATTTTTTTATTTTACGACATCGACTGATCGTGGAACAAAACAAAGAATCTGACGACGACTTGAGGTCTGAGAGATTTGGATTCATCTGGAGACGTGAACACAATCATCGGACGATCGTTTCATTTCCACGTTCTGAGGAAGCGAGCGTCGGTGTGTGTCGTTACCTGGGTCAGCTGCGGGAGACCACCAGCGTCAGCCATCTGTGTTCAGAGAGAAGACATGAGGACGAGAGGACGAGAGGATGAAGCAGAAGAACAGACGATAAATAAAAAAATACACGAGAGGTCGTCACCTTTAGGAATGAGGTCGTTGTTGGGTCCAGTTTGCTGTTGCACTCCACCTGGTGGTCACAGAAGGAATGACAATAAAACTTTAGTTGTACACTGTTTAAAAAGATGGATGATATATATATATAACAACATTAAATTAAGAAGATAAGAAAAAGACAAGATATTTTAGAGGAAATCAGCTGAAACTTACAGCAGCGTCCTCGTACGGAGCTTGATCCCCCACCACCAACATGACTGGACACCTGAGGTCGACAGGAGGAGACTTTAGACGAGAAACATTCAGAGAATTCACTTTGTAAATCAATGAATAATACGATGTCTAATAATGAAAGTCAGGAGGGTCTTTACTTGAAGGTGCTGCTGCGGTCGATGTTCAAGTCTCTGCGACTGGATGAGAATGAAAAGAGAAGAAATAAAGATATTTTTTAAAACACGATGAAAGTAAAAGTACTTCTCCCGGTCGTTGCATAAAGTTTCAATAAAAGCTGAAACACAGTAAAAACAACAACTATGGATAAAAACAAGTGAATGTAGTTTGTTTGTCGATGTGGAGAACATCTGTGTTTACGTATGAATACATGAGGCTGTTCATGAATATATACGAGACAACGTCCACCTGTTGTACGTCTTCCACAGCTGCTCGATGTTGATCAGATTAGAAGCTTTGGAGATTCGCTCTCTGTGAGACTGAACCAGGTCTGTGTTTGACGACAGCTCCTCCTGCAGGACGTCAGAGGGACCACACACATATAATTATTTTACACATGCTAATTTGAGACATAAATGATATAAACACGTGATGGACATGATGTCCTGTACCTGACTGAAGAGGTGAGACAGGATCTGCTCTGTGAGCGAGGACGTCACAGAGCTGAGCTGCAGAGAAAATCAATAAGATGATTATCATTTAATACTTTAATCAATGACATGATCCATAACACATGAGGACACATGAGGACACATGAGGACACATGACGACACATGAGGAGACAAGAGGACACAAGAGGAGACATGAGAACACATAACATCATTAAAGTGATGGAGAACTCACATGAGGACAAACTGGATTATAATAACACACATGTTTGTGTTTATCAGAGGAAGCTGGAGGGAAGGAAGGAGGAAGGGAGGAGAGGGAGAGGAAAAAGGAAGAGCAAAAGAACAAACTAAAGAAAGAAAGAAAGAACAAACAATTTACAACAGAAAGAAAGACAGAAAGACAGTGAGAGAGAAAGAAAGAACAATCTAAAGAAAGAATAAACAGAAACAACCACGTAACGACAGAGGAAACCACAGAACAAACAAACAACAAACTAAAGAAAGGAAGAAGGAAAGGAAGAAGGAAAGGAAGAAGGAAAGGAAGCAGACGTACCTTCTGAGCGGCCCAGTCGATCCATCCACGAGCGTTGGTGTCGATGTTGATCAGAACCAGACCCTCCACTGAGTCCGGGTTCGCGAGCTGACGACAAAAAAACCATGTTTATTAATTAATATTATTATCATTTCATTCTCTTCATCAACTTCATAAACAGGAAACTGTCTCAGGCCAGTTTCTATAATTAGTGAGTAACTGATCAGTGATCAGATTAATGTCTGATCAATGATCATGTTTATAATTAGAAGCAGAGAAACTCACCGTGAACTTGGACAGGATGTACGCTCCCGCCCCCACCCCCACTCCGATCACAGTGCGGAAGCTGACAGAGGGAGACGCCCACTTATTAACATCACACAACATTCAAAAATAGATTTGTACTAAAGTCTCTTAAAGTAGTAGAACTTTTAAGAATAACATCTTAAAACTTTAAATTCCATCAGCAACAATATCTTCATATTATGAGTTTTTATAGTGAAACATGTAACATGTAACATGTATGTTCAAGGTCGTAGCAGATTCTTCAAAACAGAACATATTAAAACAAAACAATCAAGTATTTAAACAATAAAAGCTTAAAAACGACTATTAATTAAAAGTGAGATCGTACAAATGAACCTTCATCTTCATCTTCCTCACATGAAACTCTGGAAAAACAAAGTGACTTGAACTCACTTGAAGAACTGGAGGACGGCAGGGATCATCTCTGCGATGGTGTCCATGGGGGGGTACTGGTATCTTCATGAAATACACAAAAGCCCAAATGTTAACATTCAATTTTCTATTCTCAGTCTCAGTGTCTGGACGATAATCATGTTGATGTAAACGCAGCAGGTCTGTCGTCCATCTTTATTTACAGTTAACCGTTTATCCACAGGGATTTGAAATGAGGTCGAAAAGCGAACGACGAAAGAGAAAAGGACGGATTTTCGTTAAACCTCCGAGAAGAGCGTATTAGAGGGAGATGTGAGAGACGGGAACTTGAAGCAATTTTGGAAGAGATTAGTTTAAAAGCCTCGCACAGAAGATTGTTTCCATTTCTGAGAAGATTACTGAAAAAATAAAGAAATAAAAGAAGAAGAAGAAGAAGAAGGGTTACTGCAGGACGCTGGGTTCACTTTGAGCGAGTGGGGGGGGGGGGTGACGCCTCTAACGAGCGACAGACACAAAAAAGAGCTGACGACGGTGTCAGGTGATGTAAACGTGGTCACATGATCTCTGGGGTCTGTGTGCTGTTCACGGCGTGGAGCGTCGTACCCGGCCGGGTAGGCAGCGGCCCCCTCCTCTTGTCCCGGAGCGTCGATATGAATCAGGGTGAAGTTCTTGACGATCTCCTGCATCTCCTCGAACTTAAACAGGTGAGAGAAGCAGCTCTTACCTGCCGGACACAAACACAGGAAGGAGGAGAAGAGACGTGACGAACGAGTGACTTGGATTGTACGATTCAGAACCGAGCTGAGAGACGACAAGCGCCACTCACTGTCCAGGCCCACGTCGTGGAAGGTGAGGATCGCCGGCCTGCGGGTGGTTCGTGTGCCGTGGAGGGTGACGTGCAGAACGCCATGAGGAGTCTCGACACTGTGCTCCTGCAGAGAACAAGAGGAAACAGGTTCAGACCCCATGGTGGAGACGTGAGCTCCACTTTAAAGCCTTCTAGTGTTTTCATGTGTTTGTCTGCAGGATTAATGAAAAACGACCGGACGCAGGATTTGTTTCTAACATTCTTGTGGTCGTCATGTTTAAATGAGAGTTGTTGGATCAGAAGCTGTCTGAACATCTGGGGACCTCGCGTCTTACCTGTCCTTGGTCCAGAAGTATCCTCGCCACCAGCTCAGCGTCCTGCAACGACAGGGGAATGAAGTTATTATTATTTTCCGGTCGGTCCTGATCAGCGGCAGAGCACCAAGCAGAGCAGAAGGCTTCAATTTACACTCGTCAAATATCACAACATTCATCTGTGTCCGTTTGTTCTGGTGCTGCAATAATCAGTTCCTTGTCGTTTCTTGATTGAAGCAGTGTGTCATTGATGAGGGGCGTGTTTCGCTGCCACTCCTCCTGCACCAGCTCAGGTGGATCCTCTCCATGTTTGGTGTTGGTGGAGGAAGCGTGTTCAGATGTTTCCTCAGCCGGCAGCGATCGTGCAGAACGTGCTCGTCAAGGTGGGTTTTTTTTCTGTCGATGAAAACCTCTTCATGGCTCAGACAGAGTGAATCTCCAGGTGTGGCTGCAGGGGGCGCTGCAGCTCAGTAAAGGGGTTCATGGTGCTGCTTTAAATTCTTTGTGAAAAGTGCAGCTGTGTTGTTTTTGTTTCCGGGAGCTGTAGTTTTCCTCTTTGTCCAGCAGGCGTCAGCGGTGAGACACACACGCCTCATCTCTGCAGCTTCTGCTCGGCAACATCAGCCGAGCTCTCGTCCCCTCTGGGCTTTGACGTCAACACAGCAGATCTGAGCGAGCGCTGCAGCTGTGCACACACACACACACATATTCACACACACAGCCGTGCACACACACACACACACAGCCGTGCACACAACTGTGAGACATATTGTCACATGCAGGCTCAGCGAGGACACAAACCAGACCCTGTTGTCTGTCTCCTGGGACACACACACACACATGGTTGTCTTACTGTATTTATGGAGACCCGACATTGGCATAATGGATTCCCTCGCCCCTCGACCGAACCTTCACCATGACAACCGAGCACCTGACACCAACATTCTACTCTAACACATACGTGTGGTTTCACATCACGTATGTTACACAGTGTGTGGACTCAAGTCTCCCTGCTTGTCATGTGTGGAAATTAATGTGTGCACAACATGTGTGCACGTCTGTCTGTAGGCTGTGTGTGTGTGTGTGTGTGTGTCTGACCTTGGTGGAGTCAGTCTGACCCGTCAGTAACGGCTTCTCCTCCGTGATGGCGATCTCCTGCATTTCTGTCGTCATGGTGTCACTTCCTGTCCAGGTGAAAGAAACCAGAGCGTCAGAATGATCCACTGATTCTGCAGGTTTGTTCTGTAACAGTCCACAGATCCTGTTTCCAGTGTCACCACATACACACTGTGTGATGTGGGAACGCACACACACACACACACAAAGTGATTAAACACTCAGCAGCGCTTCCTGCGGGACCTGACGAGAGTTAATGAGCGATAAGCAGAGAAGAAGAGAAAAGGGTCAGGATTATAACAGAGTGCAAGGCAAGAAGGAACCGAGTCCAAATAGAGAGTGGAATATGAGATATCATCATTTATCCATAACAGGAGAACTGTAACAGACGTGTGTCGTGTATTTTCATTTATCATCCTCAGCTACGTTTGACTCTTTCCTGAATGTTACATTTCTCTCTTTCAGCGTTTTAATTTTGTTGTAATCACGTTTTCATCGTCTGTTGGTGAAAGTTAGGCACAAAAATAAATACACGTTGAATTGGCACAAGCAACACATCCAATCCAAGCGTTATTTTCAGAATCCAATTTGTCGTAAAACAACACTTTGACTTGTCTCGAGGCAAAAAAAAGAGAAAATTGAAGTGAGCGAGCGCAGATTGTTATTGTATCTGACAGTTTTATTCTCCGTCTGACATTTAAACCCCACATACGGGATCTCCTGACATCACGTGTGTGTGAGCGAGTGTGTACACGTACAATTCATGCTCTCATAACCCGATGACTGTATATTGTATATCATTAGAACCAGGACGTGTCCCCATGTGGTCGGCTGCTCCTGAACCAGGTCTGTGTTTGTCAGAGTGAGAGAGAGTTCGTGGGCCAAAAGTGAACAAGTGGAAATCGATGTGTTTAGATTTCACGAAGGAAACATGAGTGTTCGATCAGTCTCACTTCATAACATCAGGAACTTCAGCTCACAGGTTATTATTGGAGCACGAAACCTCAACCAATGAAACACGCCTGGTGTCAGAGGCATGTTGCTCAAAGACACGTAGGCAGACCGGGCTCTTATTCTGAAGATGCCACAGCTCCTCCCTGACTGTTCACAAAGATCTGACCTGACGACATTTGTCTTCTGTCGGTTATTAACAACCTGAGGAGCCGATTCAAAAAGACCTGTGTAGCATTTCTGTTTCATAAATGATCCACCAGCAGTTTGACCAAGACTCTCCGGACTCATCTGGAGAAAATACACAGCTGCAAAAAGAAAAATCTGAAAAACCCACAAAAAACACTAAACTCATCAATCAGTGCTTTTTATTTTAGAAACAGTAAATATCCATGTGGTCATTTTATATCAACCTATGAATCTAATTATATCGGGATGTGTGTGATTACTTGGAAATGAAAAGACGAATATATGAGTCTCATGTTTCTCACTCATCACGTTTAATCTCTCGCTCGCTCACTCTCTCTCGCTCGCTCTCTCCTGACACTGTAATATTTTAATCGGCCTATAACTCGCTCCATCATCCATCTTTCTTTCTCTCCGAGTCAGAGTGTTAAACTGCGTCTGTGAGATGGAGAGAAAAAGACAGATTCTCATTGAGAGCAAGAAGCGAAGGAAGACTGAAAACCAGGAGAGAGAGAGAAAGAGAAAGAGAGAGAGAGAGAGAGAGAGAGAGAGAACTGCGATCTGTGAGAAGACAAGAAAAAAAAAAAAAACACGCCTGACTTCCCATTTGCCTCTTACGCTCCTTCCTCATTTCAACTGTCAGACAACAGTTGCTGCGTTCATCTGCTGCAGTGAACAGGTTCCACGTCTCAGATTTCAGACTCATCATCGCTCAAGCTGAATTAATCCAAGCTTGTTTTTTTTATCAACGTCCACAATCGTGCAGAGCGTTGGCATTTCTTTAGTCGACTGTTAGCGGGCCGTCCCAATCTGTTGTTGTCAATCCTTCCAGTCATTTACACGCTTCTCCTCCTCCTCTGTCACTTCGTCTCTTTATCCTTTAATTCAACACAATGTCAAGTGAGCAGGAACTTAAAAACATTTCCAGTCGACTAGTTTCTTACTGTTTCAAAACACTCTCACTTCTATAACCTCATAAAGTTAAAGCTTCAACCTCGATGTGGATGAAGGACGTGTGTCTCTTATGTGATATTCCCTCAAGGTGTTGGAAGATCGCGTTCATAAGAGTGGGACGGACGGACGGACCTGAAAACATAATGTCTCTGGCCACTGACGTAAAAACCCTTGAATTGTTGCTTACACTCTATTTCCAGAAAAGCCAGATTCCAAAGAAACGATTGAAATTTTCACTGTGCAGCACGAAAACCAACTCTCTCTTCCTTAAATCTTCTTCTAGTTTCTGACATCAAAACGTTCTCTCACCACCGTCTTTATTTTAATCTGTCTCTCAGCTCTGCGCTCCTTCACGTCGAGCTGCTGACTTTTCATTCTCGTCTGTCTCACTTCTACCATCCCTCTTTCTTTCTCTCCACCCAAAAGCGAAAAATGAAAAACTGAGCAAACGGTCTGCTTCTCTCTCTCGCTGCTGCAGCTCTGAACTAAGTGACGCACTCAGACACAGACACAATAACACTGAGCTAAAGTAGGGCACTGAGCAATAAGGTCACCCGTATAGAGAATGTGAGCTGGAGGCTGAAATGCTGAGAGGTTAAACCTGTGGCCTTCAGGGACACGAGTGAGCGACGAGTAACCAGGTAAAGAAAAACTGTCCAATAGGAGACTTATTGTTATGAGCGTTTAACATCCGTGAAGCTCGACTCTCCAGACTTTCTCCTCTGTTTACTTCCATGTGTCTCGGAGCTGAATTAAAAACGTCGGGCAGCGTGGACGCAGACTTCAGGCAGCTCACTGTGTCGTGCACACGTTCACACACAGCGGCCCCCGGGTGAGACGGCAGCGAGCGGCCGCAGACAAACATTAATTACTTCAGGAAGCAGATTCGATCCCGAGTGTTTCGCTCCTCAACACCTGGGACTCTCCACCAGGTTAATCTGTGTGTGTGTGTGTGTGTGTGTGTGTGTGTGTGTGTGTGTGTGTGTGTGTGTGTGTGTGTGTGTGTGTGTGTGTGTGT